AAAGTAGATCACCAGATCTTTCTTCTGAGCTACCTCTGGGTAAGTGCAAACCCCCAACTCTGGCTAGCAATTGTTGTTGTTAAGTACCATTGAGTCAATTCTGACCCATATGACCCTGTATAGGGTTTCTGAGGAGCAGCTGGTGAGTTTGAACCGCCGACCTTGCAGTTCAAATGGCTTTGTAGTCTGGCTCATTAACCCACAGCGCCACATTGCACCACTCAGGGACTCTAACTATCTGATTATACAAGCAAACTAGGTATTACAATATTTGGGGCATTTACCAAAGTCTTGGAACGCTTAATGGAAGACATCTTTCCTATCAGTGATCAGGTTGCATACCTGTGGGTTCACTCCATTTCAGGAAATCTTTAGAATAGGTTTTATAACCCATAGCTTATCAATAAAGACCTAGAAGCTCAGAGAAGTTGAATTAGGGATTTAATTTTTTACTTAACATAAAAATAATGAGAAATACAATGTTAAACAAGACATTTTCATGAGCATATCATGCAATTTGGTTGTGATACATGTGGTATCTACATCCACATAGTAGTCTCTTTTACAATAAAAGAGGAAACCAGCTGTATGTCTAATTTTTGCTTGTTTCTTTTTCAAATACAGATAACTGTTATTCCTTATGAGAGAATGCACAAATCCATTTTTTTGTGGTGACTGATTAAGGATTTTATCTTTCCATCTGACAGAGACACAGAATACAAAGGGCTGCAGCTGTCCCTGGATCAGATCTCAGCCTCCAAACCAGTCTTCTCCTATGCCAGCAGCTCGACCCCCACCATGACTGACAATAGGAAGGGGACCAAGTCCCGGCTCTCTAGCTCAAAGTCAAAATCTAGGACTTCCCCATACCCTCAGGTAGGTGTATGCTGCCTCTTTTGTTTTCTTTTTTCTTTTGCAGCTTTTTATTTTTGTGGCCTGGTTTGGGTCTCATGGTTGAGGAAGTATTAAAACGATTTGAAATTAATTATCTGGTTTTGATAATTTTAAGCTTCAATAAATCTGTAAAGTTTTCTAAGCTATATTCTCCTTCCTCCGTGTCCTTTAAAATAATGGTGCCAGCAGTAGACATTTTTATGTTGTTTGTTAGTTCAGAAAAATTTGAAGCAATTTTGTGGCTCATTGCATTTTTATATAAAGGCTGTGAGAGTCTCAGTTGCAGTCAGAACCAGAATGTCTCTGTTATCTCAAGATTGAGCCTAAATTTTTATCCCACAATGATTAACCAGGAGGATGCAGCCAGCATAACAAAATATGGAAAACAAGAGCTTGATGTAGAAAAATTGAATCTTAAGACAGTAACTGAAGAAGAAAGATATTAAGGGGTGGAGGCAAAGGATCAAGGATATATTTCACCATGAGATTTGAGCACAGATGGACTGTTTATGAGGAGGAATGAAATAGAGAGGATCTTCCAGATGGCAGGAATGTAGGAAATCAACTCTCTTCTCATCTTTGCAAGGTGCTGAGATGATGAGACCCAGAGGAGGTATTCTAGAAATACTGCAAGGTACAAATCGGAATCCTGATTCTTAGAAGGAAAAAAAAATTATTATTTAAGAAAAATCTAGTTTGATATTTAGAAACTATACTGTGTCAAGATGTGTGCACAACTCTCTCCTGGCCTGAAGGGTGTGTGGCAAATCTGGGAATTCTGCACTCCCAAGTATCCTGCTGTGGTGTTGCAGGATAAGCATTGCTAACTGCAATGTCGGTGGTTCAATCCCACCAGCTGCTCCTTGGAAACCCTTTCTAGGGTCACTGTGTGGCAGATGTGACTTGATGGCACTTAACAACAACAGCAATATCCTGTGGCCCTCTCACCTCCAACCTTTTCTTTTAAGAGCACTATACCAAACTCCCTGCATGTCACTAGAGTAACTGCAGGGCATGAGTCCTGTGCTAACATGAATCCATACTGGGTTGTGTGTCGTTTCATTAAGGTGGCCTAGTATCATTTATATTTCAAATATATTTATAATAGTAACAATGACAGGTAAGGGTACAGACACTATTCCCTTACTTCTCAGAGCTATGCTATATATATATTATGTTGCTATGTGCAATTTTATCCTATTTCAGAGAATGCCATTCATTGACTAAATGGTCACTAAGAACAAGCTGTGGTGTGGGGCTGTATGATAAGCACGGGACTGCTAATCACAAGGTCAGTGGTTCGGACTCACCAGTCGCTCCTTGGAAATCCTACATAGGGTCACTATGGATTGGAACTGACTCGATGGCACTTAAAAACAACAACAGCAAGTCTTGGTGTAGCACTGTAGGATAAACACTGGACTGCTAACTACAAGATCATCAGTTCAAATGCACCAACCATTCCTTAGAAACTCTATATAGGGTACGATGAGTCTGAACCAACTTGACAGAACTTAACAATAAGAATAAGCTATTTGCTAGATTGTTTTAGGGGCTTACATTATGTGATTTGAAAATTTCCACAGAAGACCTGATTTCATTGCTCTGACAAAAGAGAGAAGAACAGATGTATATACCTTCCATTATGAGGACTGGGAAATTTATTTATAAAGTGTATTTTAATCATAATCGCTGTGGAGAAGTGATCTCTTTTTCTCAAATATCTAATGAGAAGCTTTTTTTCTTTCTGTCTTTAAAAAATTACTATGTTATACTCGAAGTCCTGGTGTGGCACTACAGGGTAAGCACTGGACTACTTGGTTGGGTTGAATCACAAGATCAATCGTTCAAACTCACTACCGAGTCATCAGAAAACCCTTTATAGGGTTGCTGTGAGTCAGAACCAACTCGATGGCACTTAACAACAATCTTATACTGTGGGCAAGGAGTTTATAGTCTGTTTTTATTACTTGAAAGTATAGATTATACATTTGGGTAATCCTAGTCCTGGTGTGGCACTGTAGAATAAGCAGTGGAACCACAAATTTGGTTTGAACCTCAAGGTCATTGGTTCAAACTCACCAACCACTCCCTGAAAACCTTTTACAGGGTCACTCCGAGTCGGAACTGACTCCACAGCACTTGACAACAGCAAAACATCCTTAAATATAAAGAAGTGTTGGGCACATAGATGAAGGGATAATTTAAGCCAGGAAATACTAATTTAAGGAGAGGTTTGTACATTGTTATTTGGAAATTAAGCCACAATACTAAGAACAAAAATAAAACCTTCTTGTTGGAGGTCTAGAATGTCGCTGTCTGGTTCATGTTTTCTTTTATGCTCAAGTCAGAAAGTGTAAATTTTCTAATAACTCACTCTAACTAATTTGTTGTTATTGTTAAGTTGTCCCCAACTATATACCTATCGACTGCTTGGCTGTAAATTGGACCATGAGGGTGAGTTCCTTTCCAGACTGAAAGGTGGCTGAGGGTTATAGTCTCAGGTCCCTCCAGTTTCTTTTTGACCAGTAAACTTGGTCTTTTTTCTTTTTTTTAAATTAAATCATTCTGAGTTCTGGTCCACATTTTTCTCCCACTTTATCTGAGTAGTGGTAGCCAGGCACAGTCTAGTTCTGGTTTAAGAGTCATGGAAACTGATGTTCACATGTTCCATTAGTCTACTGGATTTCTTTACTTCTTATCACTCTTTGTTCTTCCACACATGGTGAGACTAATAGTTGTACTTTAGATGGTCGCTCATGAGCTTTCAAGATCCTAGGTTCTACTCACCCAAGCAGGATGTAGAATTGCCTTTGGGGACTATATTATGCCAAGTGACCATGGTGTCTCCTGAGACTGTGGTCCTGAACCCCCAGGCCCATCAACTTACTGTCTTAAGATGTTTGTTAATATCTACGAAGTTTTCATCATTTTACCCATTGTATGTTCCACCATAGTCATAGATGCATTTTCAGGAAAGGTAAATAGTCATGTTTAAACATCCTCTTTCAAACTCTTACGTGCTTGTGGGATATATAAATTTATAAATATGTATCCCACTTTTCCTCCCTTATCCATTCAGCCTGCGTTTCAGTCTATGTATCTAGTCACAGAACACTGTTGTTTCAGGCTGTTTATATATCACTATTTACCTCTACCCCTTTTAGCCCAGGCATACCGCCAGGTGTCTTCATCTGTCTGTATTATTCTTTTACCACCTTCCCTCTTCTTGCATATTACCTTCCCCCTTCTTGTTGTATATTGCCCTCCATGTTACCTGAGCTAACTGTGTCTACGCTCAAACCCGTGAATTGCTGTCCCCTCCCTTCTTTCCCTAGTAACCAACAAAGAATGTTTCTTTCAGTATGGAAATGTTTTCTTGAGTTTTTACAATAGTAGTCTCATACAATATTTTTTCTTTTGTGATTGACTAATTTCACTCAGCATAATGTCCTGCAGGCTCATCCATGTTATGAGGTTTTTCTGTAGATACATTGTTGTTCTTTAATGTTGCCTAGTATTCCATTGTAAGTATGTACCAAAGTTTATTCTACCCTTGCTGGGCACTTTGACTGTCTCCATCGTTTTGCTATTGTGAATAGTACTGTGATGAACATTGGTGTGCATATATCTACTCATGCCCAGGCTCATATTTCTTGTGGATATATACCAAGTAGAGGGATTGCTAGATCATAAGGTATTTTTATTTCCAACTTTCAGAGGAAGCGCCATACTCTTGTTCAGAGTGGTTAAATCATTTGACAGTCCCACAGCCATGTAGGAGGGTTCCAGTCCCTCCACACCCTTGTCAACATTTGTTGTTTTATATTTTTTTCAACTTCACTATTAATGCTGGGGTGAGATGATATCTCATTGTTGCTTTGATTTTCCTCTCCTTAATGGATAAGGAAGGAGCTCTGGTAGTGTAGTGGTTAGATGTCAGGCTGCTAACCTCAAGGTCAGCAGTTCGAAACTACCAGCTGTTCTGAGGGAGACAGATGAGGCTTTCTGCTCCTGTAAAGATTTACAGCCTCAGAAACATTATACAGAATCGCTATGAGTTGGAAACAACTCCACGGCACACCACCACCACCACCAATGGATAAGATCTGTGTTGGAAGAAGTACAGCCAGAGTGCTCTTGGGAAGCCAGGATGGCTAGACTTCATTTCTCAGACATATGGTCAGGAGGGATCAGTGACTGAAGAAGCTTATCATGTTTGGTAAAGTGCAGGGTCAGAGAAAAAGAGGAAGACCCCCAGCGAGATGGATTGTCAAAGTGGCATCATCAGTGGGCTCAAGTGTAGCAACGATTGTGAGGTTGGCCCAGGACCAGGCATTGTTTCCTTCTGTTGTGCATAGGGTTGTTATGAGGCAGTACTGACTCAATGGCACTTAACAACAACAACAACAGTGGATAAGGGGATCCTGGTGTGGTGCTGTGGGTTAATGCGCTGGACTGTAAAGTCAATTTGAACTGCAACATTGGCAATTCAGGCTCACCAGCCACTCCTTGGAAACCCTATACAGGTTTGCCGTGGGTCAGAACGGACTCCTTGGCACTTACCAACAACAAAGGGATAAGGAGTTCTGGTGTGGTGCTGCAGGATAATGTGTTGTACTGAAAGGTCAGTTTGAGCCATAAAGTTGGCAGTTCAAACCTACCAGCCACCCCTTGGGAACCCTACATAGGGTTGCTATGAGTCAGAACCAACTTGATGGCACTTAACAACAGCAACAATGACTAATGATTGTGAATATTTCTTCATATGTTTATTGGCTGCCTGAATGTTTTCCTTGGTAAAGTGTCTGTTCATGTCCTGTGCCCATTTTTTAATTGGCTTGTTTGTCTTTGTCTTGTAGAAGTGTTGTAGTTTTCTATAAACTTTAGATATTAGCCCTTTGTCTGCTATGTTATTGCAAAATATTTTTTTTCACCAGTCTATGGGCTCCTCTTTTACTTTTCTGGCAAAATCTTTTGAT